CCTTCCCTAAAAAAGACGTCATCTAGATGGCAGCATATGTTTCCAAAACCTGTATATATCATTCAGCATTAATGGTAACTTCACAGATGTGCAAGTCACCCATGCCATGTGCACTAATTCACCCTATACCATCACGGATGCTGGCTTTTGAACTGTGTGCTAATAGAAAGCCAGGTGGACCCTCTCATCTTTATCCTGGAGGACACAGTGTCCATTATTCCCGAAAAGAATTTCAAATTTTGATTTGTCTGACAGTTTTACACTTCACCTCAGTCCATTTGAAATGAGCTCAGGCCCAAAGAAGGCGGCAGTGTTTCTGGATCCCGTTTAAATATGGTTTCATCTTTGTGTTTTAGAGTTTTAACTTGCATTTGTGGATATATTAATAAACTACTTCCACAGACAGTGGTTTTCAGAAGTGTTTCTGAGCCCATGCAGTGATTTCCACTACAGAATCATGTCTGTTTTTAATGCAGTGCCACCTGTGGGCCCAAATATCACAGCCAGCTATTATTGGTTTTCATTATTTAAAAAAATAATTAATTATTTAAAAAATACTAAAGGGTTTAAATGGTTTCCACATCATTGCATTCTGTTTTTATTTACATTTTGCACAGCGTTCCAACTTTTTTTATAAATGGGATTGTATATATAACCTTAAATCTAGTCATTATAAAATCATATGCAAAAGTTTGGGCGCCCCTGGCATTTTTTTTTCCATTTAAATGTGGAAATAAACAACAGAAATTAGAATTTTTGAAAAATTAAAAAAAATATATGTGAAGAAGAAATCTGTGAAAGTGATCATGTTAAGGCCTTTTTAGTCTTATCTTCTTTTTTTTAAGATTTTGTTCAGAAAACTCTTCAGATTTGATCTACTTATCAGAGGCTTTTGCACAAAGTATGTACAGTTCATGCCCACTTGAGTGCACACTGTCATTTACACCAAAGGGGGATAATAGAATAATAAGAATGTAAATGACTGTGCACAGTCATTTACACCAAAGGGGGATAATAGGATAATAAGAATGTAAATATTTCAACGATTCTACTTTTCACTCAAATTGTTATGCTGATAATTTAATTTGCAGTGAAAAACATATTACATTATAAAATAATGCAAAATAGAAACAATTTCATTAGTGGTCTCAGATTTTCAGACCTCATTCTCTTAATATCTCATAATGAGAAATATTACATATATTTATGAGATTTATGATTATAAAATTCTCTACATATCATTTTTGGAGCTTATAAAATACATTCATAGACATCAAATCTGATTAATGTTTTTCTTAAATACAGATTCAAAGCATTTATGCAAAAGCGTTTTGATCCAAATGTCTTAATGAAAGAATATTCAATCCAGTTTGCCTAAACTTTTGGTACAGGTGCTGCAAATCAGGGAAGTGAGGGAGCATTTCAGAGCAAGACTGTAATAAGATAAGAGTCTTACTGTACATTAACACTCACACACACACATTCCTCTGTGTCTATCAGGGAGATGAAGCAGACAAAGAGCATGGTTAATTATTCAGAGAGATCACTGCAGCCCATTACATCACATACATTATAAACGAGCCCAGGCTCTGTCCAGCCCCTCTAAAGGCCTCCCTTCTTAATAATCATCCCACCAACACCAGGTTAGCAGTGTCCAGATGACCTCACCCAAAATCATTACCAGCTGAGCCTCAACGGAACTGATTCATTCAGGGACGGTATATACTGAGTTACCGCTTCATCAAGTACAACTAATTTGTGCCTACACTCATTGGCCAGTTTATTAGAAACACTTTCCATATAGGAGCACTTTGTATGTTTCTGTTGCTGTGCAGTTGGTCAGCTTAACCTCTACTCCATTTGTTAATGGGAAGGGATCAGCTTAGGACAGCTGCTGACCAGATATTATTTGGGTGCTGGACCATTCTAAGATTGACAGTTTGTTATGTAGAAACATCCTTCATTTTTGTGGTTTCCTCCTTTAAGTGGAGGGATAAATCCCCAAGCACATCTAAATCAGCAGCTAAACAGTAGCTAGCTAGTTCTGAGGACCTTTGCAGATGGGAACCCTCTGAGTTTTTAGGCTTTCAGAGAATTATGATAATCCTTTCTGTGAAATAAAAGATTGTGATTGCTTTAGTTTTGTTTTTATATAATAGAATCATTATGCTTGTTGTATTTAAACTGCACAAGTATTGTAGTAATACTCTTACTTAACTACAAGGTTGTTTAAAATGATTTAAAGGAAATGCTTCTCAGTCATTCTTCACTGCTGACCACAGACCCATCTGCAGTGGCTGGATACTTCTTCACCACACATTTCCCAGGATTTCATTCTGGTGATTGTGCTTGGCATCTCCAGGTCATTTATTTGGGCTTTGGATGAAACATGAAATGTCTTGAACTATAGTGCTGTACACATTTTTGATCACCTGACATCAAGTGTCGCTACGCCATGGCCACCCCACACCTACTTTTGTGTCCAAGCTTGGTCACCCCAGTCAAAATATTCTGTATCTGCCACTGCACAAGAGGGGGCGCTGGAATGCTTTAGGTGGGTACATGGGCTGCTGGTGTCAGTTGTGTTATCTGCCTGTAGGAACTCTAGTGTGGGTTCTTCTTTGAAATATTACTTGTTATCTTACAAGCCACCACATACAGTTTAAATCTTTAAATCGGAATGATTCCAGAAATGTATATAAGGACTTTTAGAAGCTTCTGATTGGCTAATTGTCATAATTAGGAGTTAATTGGGAGCATTCCTGTAGCTGTATTTAAGGGCCTACCTTTAGTACTTAGAGTCTTTTTGCCCTTGACATAACCCAAGCAACTCTGTACAAACAATTAACAGACAAATTATTTACCAGGGCTGAAGCCATCAGGTACCGAAGTATCTACATCCACCGCTAAAGATTCCAACGTCATCATGGCCTGAAAGGCTGCCACACAAAAGAAGAAGCCCCTATTCCAAGACTGGCATAAAAAAGCCAGACTGAACTTTGGTGATCACCAGAACAAAGACCCAGCCTTCTGGAGGGAAATAGGTGGCATCATGTGGAATGAGGATTATGTTTAAATACAGAAGAAACGCCTCAGGACATCAACCAGAAGGTTAAAGCTTGGTCACAGCTGGGTCCTTCAGCAGGACTATGGGCCTCATTCACCAAAGTTTTTCTTAAATTAGTTCTTGAGAAAGGTCTTAAACCACAGAATTGTTGTGTCTGTAGATTCTCGTCTTACCTAAGAATAAATCTCTAATAAGAAAACATTGGTGAAAGTCAGAATCTTCGTGAAAGCTGCGTACGTGGGCTTTAAGAAGACATTTCTTCTTAAGAGAGGTTGGTGAATGAGGCCCTATGATCCTAAGCATTCCTCCAAAACTGTGACAAAATGGCTTTGTGAAAGTATTGGAGTGGCCATCACAAAGCCCTGACCTAAATCCTGTAGAAAATATAGGGACTAAACTGAAAAAGTGCATTTCAGCCAGAATATCCATAAACCTGACTGATTCAGTTCTTTCAGAAGAAAAGGGCAAAAATTCCTGCTAAGTATTATGGGAAATCTTGTGGAAGACTACCCCATGCGTTGGATTTAAGAAATTAAAATGCCACCAAATACAAACAGTGTATTCAAACTTTTAACCCACTGAAAATCTGATATAACAAATCTTTCTTTTAGCTTTTATTTTGAAATGATATCTTGTGGAAATAAAATATATACCTTAATTGATGTTGATTAACCTTTGGAGTGTGACGTTGTTAAAATTTGAGTTTGAATGGCTTTAGATTGTATGTAAATTTCTGGCCTCAACTGTACGGGCTGTCAAAAACACAAAGCCAGAAAATCATTATACCCCAAATGGGAAAAATATATGGGCCTGTATTTTTATTTATTTGAAATATATTTCAAATACATTGCAGTCCATGCTGAAATACACTCCAAACACTAAAATGTATTTCAGAATATTTTGCCATATTAACCAAATATATTTTAAAATACATTTATTTTAAAAAGTATGGGGAAATATTACACATAGAAATGTGTGTAAATGTATTTATCAAATACATTTAAAAATGTATGAAAATAGCCAAAATCCTGTGTAAAGTGCTTTACTGTTTGAAAAACCTTTTGAAATGAGTTTGTATTCCAGTATCTTAATTGTAAATATTAGCAAATGAATCTTTAACATGTCAAAAGCAAGTGTTGGAGGTATTGATGCACTGAAATTCCGTTATGATTTGATATCCTGTTTATTTGAAATACATTGTGTGTGAGTGTCTTACTGCATACGTACATGATTAATACAAAATGCAACACAAAACACAGAAGTCAGTACCTCCATTCAGTTCATGTATATTTAGTTATAGCATCTGTAACCTTTGTTAAAACTACATATTATTAAAAAAAATATAAAGACAAATTAAATAAATGCATTTTTAAAATATATTTAACACACATTTTTGGCCATTTTCATACACTGCAAAAAATATATTTGATAAACACATTTGGAATATATATTTTTTTTGCTGAATGGATCGTCGGTTCCATGTATTATGAATAAGAAAAACACCAGTGCATAAAACAGAGATCCGACAATTTTCAACTGCTTTTAGAGAGCTAAAGCCCACAGTCGGGGACTGCACTGTGCAGCCTATTCCGAGATTAGTCCTTTTAGATGCCTCATTTTCCAAAAAACATCTATTCCACCCCATAGCAAGCACAAGGACTTGAAATTCTCATTACACTGTTTACACGAATGCAAATAAAGTCATTAAACTCATTAATAAAGTCATTTAGAGGAGCTAAATGTTTTTTCTTCACGGCGCCGATTCTCGGATGGTTCTTTTGTTTACTTTGTTCATGATGCTTATCAGGATAACACGCTGCCAGCCCCCATTCCTTTACTAAGGAGATAATTCAGCGACATGGCTGAAATCCCTGAATGTGGCTTTAGGTCACAGGAGAATAATTGGAAGTTACGAGCACGGACGCTGTCTCACCTCCATACTGGTCAGGTTGCACCTGTGAGTTCCTGCAAACCAGCCATCAGTGGAACACTGATCGATATCCACATCCTGTAGGCTGACATCCACCCGAACAACTCCCCTACGAGAGAGAGAGAGAGAGAGAGAGAGAGAGAGAGAGAGAGAATCAATTACGTCTTCAGTGCCAGAAAAGGCGAGTCAATCAGCTAGAACAACGTAAATGTCTTAAGTGAAATGTAAGCTTTTCTCTTCTGAACACTTTGAATCCATAAAGCACTACATCGGGTGATAAATACGTCTCCTGAAGTTTAGTGAGTGTTTAAGAGCCTCCTGGGACATAAAGCTTGAGGGGCCGTGACAAAATCGAGTCAGTACCAGACTTGCTACAGCAAATGTAGAGGAAAAAAACAAAATTATGCAAGAAAATGAACGTCAAGTGGTTTTGCTGGCAGTGATTGACACAATCAAATAGCCGACACCTCTCAAATCATTGACTGGCCTGATTTCTCCTCGTCTTCCAAACGCAGAAGTACGCTTCTGTTAGGCTGTTTCAGATGCATGATACAAAATAAGAAGAAAAAAAAAGAAAAAAAATCTAATAGAAACACTGAAAAGCATGCATTTACATTGCATTAGGGAAGGAAATGAATCGTAACTAGTTCCTCGTCCTTTAATATAACCCTAGCATCTCTGTTTATGAGTTTCTATTATTAATGTTCTATACCCCTTGGTGCTGCGGATCATTAGCAGTCCCATAATGCTCTCTGTGTAGGTCAATAAAACGCCACCTAGCTCCACCTGTAATGAAACCCCTTTCGTGCATTTGACTATAGGCAGCTTCAGCGGTGAGTATATAGAGGGAAGCCATTAGTGCTAACAAACACAAAAGGGACCCCCCAGCAGCTCATCCACAGTGGGCTTCCAAGCAGAGATACATAGTGGTGCAATTATGGACAATACAATGGTCTCTTAATGGTTTGTTTGGAATGGGAAAAATCACTTCTAAATTAAAGCTGACAACCTGCTGTGTAATCCCTGTAGTCACTGTGTCATGTCAAGTACAAACTGCTGGAGTACAGAGCCAAAAGACCAAAGACCAAACATGTACAGAGACTTTACGCCTTAAGAACAAACCACAAAGGAAAAAGCACACTTAAGGATTGCAAATGGCCCACGAACACACCCCTGAGGCACTCCAAACTTAAGAGCCATACAACTTCTCTTTTTTTTTCCTCCACACAGCAAAAATGACCAGCACAAAATCACAAATTCCAGTGAACAGGCCATGTAAATAATGCATTCACTCGCTACAATCTGAAGTCTGAAGGAGAATCAGCACAGTGCTGTGTTTTTGAGGATCTCTGAGTTTTGTACATGCTGTTCCCTGGTACAGAGACAACTGCACCGAGCTTGTAAGAGTTAAGCTCTGTTACTCTGAGTTTGGGCTGCAACAGCATTCGCCTCATCGCGGGTGATCGCACCTGCCTCCTCACACCTGCAGTCCACGGGAGATCCAGAGCATTGAGTACAGATAAATCTTCATGTGATAAATGTGCTCGGCTATGGCATTTAAAGTGTAACCCAGCGAGGTTTTAAAGGAATCATTTGCCGAAAAATGTAATTTTATACATTTCCATCCCTGACTCTGTTCATCCTAGTTCAACATTTTTGGCAAACGCTATTATTGTCAATATAAATCATGTGGCCTGTATTTAAACACAAGAAGTCTTAAAATAGGTCTGCAGTGATTAGCCAATTAATCAATTAATCAACCAATTAGTCTTTGACAATGTTTATTTAACACCAAATGCACTACACTCAAGGGTTCTTTAGTAAAGAAAATGGCTCTTTATAGAATCATCTACAAAACATTCTCCATCAATCTGAATCACAGAGCAGAGATCATTTACATATACAGTTGTATGCAAAGGTTTGAGCAGCCCCTGTCGAATTATTATTTATTAATTATTATTATTATTTTTTTATTATTAATTATTATTTTTGTTAATGTTTTATGTTTGAAAATAAGTTAATACATCTCTGACATTTATCACACTGTCACAAACTGGGTAAAAAAATAAAATAAAATATGTTGCATGTGCAGAGGTTTTTTTTTATGTTTTATGTTACATTTGTGCAATAAAAATGCCATATGTAGGTTTGCAGAGGATGTATTTGCTTATGTAATTTGACTGGGAGTGTTTAGACATTTGAATACAACAGTATCCGTCTTAAAGAATATGAAAAACTGGATTAGCTTCAGACTCTATGTCTGACGCCAAACATGTTATGGCTGATTGACTACTTTAGGGGTTAGAGGGAAACAGTGTAAATTAGATTTTTCCTAGAACTGTTCCTTTAAATGTAGTTGGTAGAATGTTCATCTCATAGCATATTGCACACATAATGACTTGATGGGCTGAAGGCTTTGACTCTCAATCAATACACTACAGAATAGTCATCTAGCTCACAGAGAGAGGCGCGAGGAGCGTGTGTCAGGGCAGCGGGGAGGACTTTTATAGTGTGAGACTGAAGTGCTTTTCTGCAGGGAAGGGAGTTTGTTTATTCACACTTACTTACACCGGCACACTCACAGAGGACTCTGTGCATCTGTTCTTATTAATAACTTTGAGTGTGGCCTTGCCTGAGGCTTTTCTGATCTCAGTTCATTTCCCATCTCTACCGCTCTGCTGCCTCTGTAGGAGTACAGCACACTGCTCTGGCTAACAGGGGAACAGTGAGTAAATCTGAGAGGGACCTCTACTAATATAGGCTTTCTGTGGGTTTACGTGTACACGGACAGGATTTCAATACTATTTAAGATACTTATGCGGACAGCAAACAGCTGAGGGAATGAATGACTTGTTCTCCTGTCCTTGTTGTAAGTCATGAATGAGATTAAGATTCATCCAAAACCAGCCGATACCTCATTCTTTTGAATAAGAAAGGTCAATGTTATTATGCGCCTCACAGCAAGAATGGCCTGGGTTCGATTCCCGGCCGGGCGCCCGGGGTAATTTCTGTGTGGAGTTTGCCTGTTCTCCCCGTGTCTGCGTGGGTTTCCTCCGGGTACTCCGGTTTCCTCCCACAGTCCAAAGACATGCAGTCAGGCCAATTGGAAATGCTGAATTGCCCCTAGGTGTGAATGTGTGTGTGATTGTATATGTATGTCTGTCTGTCTGCCCTGCGATGGACTGGCGACCTGTCCAGGGTGTATCCTGCCTTCCGCCCAATGACAGCTGGAATAGGCTCCGGCACCCCACCGCGACCCAGAAGGATAAGCGGTTTAGATGATGTGTGTATGTATGTATGTATGTTATTAAGACAAATGTGCTTATTCTTTGTACAGATCATATCAAACTGCAGATTTTTTAAGTGAAGGTATGCTAACACATCCTCTACAGAGAACACACTTAAATATGACATTTTGTCTGCAAATTTTTCTGTAAATTTCCTTTAAAAAAAAAAAAAAATATTATGTATATGTGTATATATATATATATATATATATAGATATATATATATATATATATATAGATAGAGAGAGAGAGAGAGAGAGAGAGAGAGAGAATGTATATATATATTATATAGTATAATATATAATAAAATATCTTAAATATGGCATTTTTCTGCTATTTATTCTGTAAATAATTGTAATAATAATCTGTAAATTTCGAAGGTTTGTGAGCCCTTTACAATTTTCTACATTTCTGCATAAATTTCATCTAAAACATCATCAGATTTTCACACAAGTCCTAATAGTATATAAAGAGAACCAAATTAAACAAATGCGACAAAAATATTGGTCATTTATTTATTGAGGAAAATGATTCAATATTACATAGTGAAGTGGAATGGCACTGTATAGTGCCATAACTTTTGCACAGGCCACAGTTTATGTTTTATTTCCCCAAAATATTAAATTCAGCATGGACAGTAATTGTGTATTAACGTGTGTAGAAGTGTGTTTTCTGTAGAGGGTGTTTTAACCTTTTCACAAAGAAAATCAACAAAATGTAGTTTTATTCATTGCCCAAACCTTTGAACACAACTTAATGATTCTATGACAATTCTTCCATTTGTAATATAACGTTTCATCATGTGGAGGTTCTTCAGACTTTAAGGTTCTTCACACTCGCATACTTTATTTTCATTAGTGGATCCAAAGTTTCTTTAGGGAAACAAAAGTGGTTCTTCTATGGCATCACACCAAAGAACGCTTTTTAGCACCTTTACTTTTAAGAGCGAGTCTGCATCTGGAAGCAATAGCCAACATACAACAATGCAAATGGAGAAACTAGAGTTTTCATATTCAGACAGAAATAACTTCTCATATGTGATTTTTTGCATAGACAAAGAATAATCATCTAATGTTGTTACTTAACATTGGCTGTTAGGCTATCTGCTTGGCGTGTGCTGATTCACAGTGCCTCAGACCTTTTTAGCCAAAACTCTGCCAGACTGTCCCATTCAGCCAGTCTGTTAGGCATAATGGTTTAATTAGTCAGTTAACTCAATAATAGTCAATAAATGAATCAATTCTAGAAAAGAACCTCTAGTTGCAGCCTTTCGCTCAAACACAGCCTGGTCAGATGAAGGCCCAGAGCTGTTAACTTTGCCTCTTTGCTTCCCTTCAGTGTTACACGGTTGTGCATGACGGGTAAAGCTGCTGACGGACTGTTCCGGACAGCCGGGAGGAATTGAAGGCCCCAAAAATAGCCACCCTATGTGCTCAGCTGGTCCAGCATCTGCTGAAGCCGCCACCCCTCGCCTTTCAGAGAGTGCCCCGCAGCCTCAGCGTGCTTAAAAACCCAAACACAACATTTGGCTCATTTCGAACTTATTCATCCATCCCTCTCTTTACCCTCCAAGGGTCTCTCCCCTGCCAGTGAGCCAAAGTGGACATATGGCGGTCCACCCGGGGCGGCTGAGGCTGACAGTGGGAAACCCCAGTCTCCTTCCAGCCGTGTTCAGCATGCGCAGAATGAGTTCAGCAAGGGCCCAGCAGAGGAGACCGCAACCAACTGGCTAGTAACAATACTCACAAGTTGCAATTACTGACAATGGCAAAAGCATGTTGTAAATCTAGATTAAAATTATATAAATATGAAATATATATAT